ACTCATGGTTTATAAAATATGTATGTGTCCTGTATACTTGTTCTTGGTTACCTGAATGACGATAAACGCTCTCGCAGTCGACAACAGGAGTAAGATCAACAGCATTTGCTGGTAGCGATAGCTGGAGTCCGAACATTATTGTCGAGCTTATTGGAGCAGCAGCAGCAGCAGCAGCAGCAACAGTATATTATTATATATATACACTTGGTCGCGTAGGGATACTGCACCTACGACGAGTGTCAAGACTTGAGTTTTTGTCTTGCCGTGGCGTTGGATGGCTTATCGAGTAACAGAACGACACCACGCAACGCGACCAAGACCAAGAGGAGGTTGTCGCCCCCTGCTGTTGTTGATAATACACGTCGACAAAGACGACGGAGAGGAGCACATAACACCAATAGTATAACTGTTTTTGCTGCTAGTGTCGGTTTAATCGAGCCATGCAGTCGATGCTGCTTTCCGCACTGATAACGGAGTCGTCGATAATATATATGTATATGTGGCTATATTTTTCAACTCTTTCGGAGCCCGGACGAAGCTTGTCCACTTTTTTCACTCTCTCTCTCTCTGGTGTACAGGTGCCTCGGACGGAGAAGCAACAAAAAATAAAAAAATAAAATAGCCAGACGAACCAACAAAAACGAGCAGGTCCCTGCTGGTCGAGGGAGACGGTGGTGAACGGGCAACGCGCAGTGGAGCCTCCACTACGCTACTACTCTCACATACGGAGCTCTCTATCGCTCTCGGCTCTCCGCGACTCCGATGCGCCTCTCTTTCTCCTTTGCTCTCCGCCAAGTGTGTTTGTTCCATATATATATATGCGCGGCGTGCGCTTGTGCGCGACCGAGAGAGCACAGTTATACAGCGGAGGAGGAGGAGGAAAGGCGCAAGCGCGAGTCCCTGCCAGGAACGTACATATACATGGGCATAGCCACACGCGCAGCTCTTTTTCCCCGGCGACGACGTCCACCCGGAGGTGTCGGGAAATCCTGGGGAGGGGGAGGTCGTCGTCGGGTCGTCCAGTCATATACGTGTCCGTGGCTGCGGCGCGTGTGCGCACACGTGAGAGCAGAAGAGGAGGGCCGACCAGTCCACCACCCCACTCCGAGCTATACCTGCTCTTCTCCTCGACGCTCGTATAATATCGAGTTGTAGCTCGAGTGGTATACAGTGCTGGTGATGCTGATCTGGTGTGTGAGTGAGAGAGAGAGAGGCTCTCTGGCTGGGCACAGGTTATACGCTCGCCTGAACTTGCGCAATTTCGAGACTCACACCCACGTACATCGAGACGGTACGGCGGAGAAGAAAGAGTGGGGTATTTTGGAAAAACGCGACCCATTCGATCTTAATTTTATGGACTTTTAAAACGATGATAATTTACATTGGTTTGAGCTCCTTTTTTTCTTTTTTTTTTTTAAATTTTGTATTTGACGTTTGCTTCGAATGTTTTCTTCAATTAAACGACAACAGAGGAGGCACTTTAATTTAATGAAAAATAATCAAGATAAGAGTTGGCATCCGGTGCGCATCCAACGATAAGGGGTCCCGGTGTGCTTGTTCTGGCGACACGCGTCACCAGGTACGAAAACTGCTGTTTCCGTATATTACGTTATTTTATAATTTACAGAGCTAAATAATATATTTTTATTTTATTTTTCATTAGCTCGGGGCAATTCGAAACTGCTGAGTTTTATCGACAAAAATAAAAATGCATTTGACATCTCGAGTTATCAACTTTGGAGTACCGTAATTTTTTTTTATTTTTTTTTCCATCTCAAAATTTACTCAAGTAATACCTATTTGAATTAAAATGGGATAGGTGATGGGGCACCGTCAGCCGCTGAGACAATGGCTGGGCGGATCATCAGCTGATCGTTTCTTATATCATGCATGCAAACAGTACAAAACACTACAAGTGCAGTATACCTAATAGTGCTTGTTTTCGTTACTTTTAGTTAGTTGAAAAAATTTGTTTTCAAGTTCCCAGGCTAATGTAGAAGCGGTACACAATTTTTTATACCGTCCCAGGAACATAAAGCTCCCGCTGACGTCAAGAAAGTAAAAGAAAAAATTTCGAATTGGTCAGTCAACATTCTTTGGTTATTGTTTGTCAATCCCAAACGTTTTCATAGCAACACGCATGACTAACGAAATTCGTTCAACACGTTCTAGAGCACACAGTGGATGTAAATGCACTAGTCCTCTAAAGCAAGTAACTGATACCGATTAAAATTAATAAATTATGGAATCTAAAAACTCTTAGCCACGATAATATATTCGATGTTTATATTTTGTAGGAAATTGAAGAGAGAAAAAATTAATTTTTTATATAAAAAAAATAAACACACGAGGCGTAAAAATTGTTAATTTTTGTTGATTGATGAATTTAAGCACTTGGTGATCGTGGTTCAAAGGGTGTCCCAAACTCTAAGGCGATTCAGCACCATCAGTAGCTCTCAACCTACTCTGTCAAGTAGGTAATCATTGATAATAGAGCATGAACATTTTCTCACTCAATCACGTATGAAAAATAAAATTCAGTCTCTCGATATTCCCAAACTTGCAGTTTCATTACCAAAGTAAACTTATAAAAACCAGTAAAATTTAATCGTACTTTTGTAATTGAAATTACTCCCACACTTAAACAAATAAACTCATTCATTAAGGATGCATAAATTAACGAATTAAATTTTCCATCAAAGGATATGTGTGACAGTTTTCGTATCCATAGGTATATGTGACAGTTAAAGCTCGTCTAGTATTATATATACGTGTGTATACGCACGCTTCCATATTATGTGGCACATATGCTCACCCTGTGACGCTCGTGGGCATCAAACTGAAACGGAAAAGAGAGAAAAAGAACTCGAGGCACTCCGAGAGCATCCACAGACCAAATTCGTCCGCAGCAGGCAAGAGAGAGAAAGATACCCATCAGTGGGAAGGTCCGAGAGAAAAAGAAATGCCGAAAAGAGAGAAAGTTCGAAGGGGGTTGGTTGGCTTTGTGTGTTAGCGTGGGGGGGAGGGGGGACCCAGGGACTGCTGGACCTTATTTCTGAAAAGGCAAATCAGCAGCCCCGAGTATGTTAACCCCTGGGCTCTCTTGGTCGTCGCTGACTGCTGTACACGTATGTATATATGCACGCAAAGTGTGAGAGGGGAATCGATGGCTGTCTGGCTGTAACATTATCATCGGCACATGTTGAAATCTTCATAAAATTGGGGGCCAAAAGGGAAGGGGGGGGGGGGCTTGGATTTTCAAAATATTTTTGAGTGACGCACTTTCAAGACCAACTCTCCGCGTCTCTGTTGTTGTTGTTCCATAAGTGCTGCTCGTGGAAAATCCAATGGGACATTATTGACAACATACTTTGGAAAAGTCCCCAAACTTTCCGACTTTATCGATATTTTCAACTCCCCTTGCTATTCCCATAAAATAAATATTTTAATTTTATTCAAAGCTCAATCGCGTATTCAAACGAAATGGAATCATATAATTTTAAGTGAAAAAGCTTAGGTTTGGCTCGATTTTTTTTTTACAGATTTTAACGTATACATGTAGCAAGGCTGGCAGATATATATATATACACACAAACACACGCGGGGAATCAGGTTCCTCTCCTCTTGTCTGCCTCTAATATGTATATACTCATTTATACTGTATCGTCGGGTTCAGCTAGGTATGAAATGATTGTATATGTATAGAAGAGAAAAAGAGCGCGTGTGTGCGTGCATGTGTATATTTACCCTACCTCCGCTCTTTATACGCACGTGCAGGGGAGCACGAGAGTGGCAAGGGAGGGGATCAGACCAGACAGTATGTCCGGGGACTGGCCCTCACCCCCTCAGCCCTGGTACATACACATATACTTGTATGACTTGTATATAGGTATACATATTGTATTTTATGTACGCTACTGCGCACTCGCGAGGTAAGGGGTGGCGATGGTGGGATAGGTTTTTTTAAACCGCCCGCCTTTTTAAATGCCATCGCCAACATCTGATGGGCTCACTACATGTGTGCAAGACCCCCTCCCACTTGTGCACCTGGTGTGTACGGGCTGCGGGTGCTTTAAAATTGGTTTTTTTTTTTTTTTTTTTTCTCTTTCGCTCGTTCGCTCGGCGCTTTCATTTTTGTACCTCGTATACTTTTCGCTTTTCCGCTTCGATTTTTCACTTTCTTTTTCACTACGCCCTCGCACGCTCGTTGTACTCGAAAATGTGAAAAAAAAAAAAAAAAAAAAAAAACCCTTGACACGTATCAGCACGTTGGACACAAGTTCTGTCGTCATGTTAACATGGTTTTTTTTCTTCTTCCGCTCGTTTCAAACCTACAAACTATTACACCCAAGTACACATTATTGTTTAACATCTCTCAAATGAAACTACACGAAGACAATGTGTGTGTATGTGTGTGTGTGCAACAGTACGCGAGCGCACAATCACGTATGGTCTCACGGCCGCGTGAACGCTAGAATAATTTTACACGAGAATAATAATTATTGTACTGCAGCACAATAGCAAGACTACGACGACGGTGAGCACGGAAAATCATCTCGACTCAACCTGTAAAGGAATATGTCGTTTTTGGTGGTATAGCATAACGCGAAAAAAAAAAAAAAAAAAAAAAAAAAAAAAAAAAAAAAAAAAAAAAAAGCGAGTTTCCAGAGTGTTAACAGGTACTTTTCCCCATGGAACGTATAGACGGGAGAGGGCTGGTGGTGATGTGGAGCAACAGTAGGAACAAGAGACAAGGGAAAATACGTGAATGCATTATATAAACGAAATCGAGGAAACAAAGGAACATGCGACGATGTTGGTTGGTTGGGGGTAGGATCTCTCGATTAATCGCACGCACATCGTGTGTAGTTTACCATAATCTGCGGAGGGTAAACAACAATAGTACCCAAGTTACGTACAAAACGAAAAAAAAAAAAAAAAAAAAAAAAAGTTTCAGAGAAACGAGATGCAAGAGTACAGATAAGAAATTATGATATTACTGTGAATTCATGGTTCTTCAACTCCTTTCTGCGTGCCCGTGCATCCTATCTCTCGGCATCTGTACCCCGTCGTCGTCGTCGTCGTCGTCGTGCATGTATCTCTCCTACACCGTGAGTTCTCGTCGCGCAGGTTCCAACTCCAACGACGACGAGGAAAGACAGCGAGCTTTTTTTTTTTTTTATTCTTCCCTTCCTCTCCTCCGAACGGTGTTTACGTGCACGATGGTGGTAGTGGCGTATACCCACACGCGATATCCTGCACACTCTTCTTCTGTTCTCTTCTCCTTTTTAATTCTTTCTTACATACTCTTCGCCGTCCTCCCCGGTTTTTTTTTTTTTTTTTTAAATCTTTTTTCGAGAGAGAGCAGATACCTCTCACACGACGACGACGACGGCACAGCAGCTACAGCCTACGGGCTCCTCCTCTCGTGCAATAATCTCGAGCCCCATCCTCCCCTGGCCCACCTCTTTGGACGCGTCGTGTCTCTCGCGAGTTATGCTTTACACTTTTCCCGTGGACTGGCTTCTACTCTTCTCGACTCCGACGCGTCCTATACTCTTTCTCTCTGCTGGTGCTGTCGATGATCGCAGGCACAAAATAAAAAAAAAAATAAAATAAAAAATTGCAAACTCACTGATTACAATTGTACTTTCGTTGGTTTCAACTATATCAGAACTGCCGAAAATTGCCACTGGAGTTTAATTTACAAACACACACAGGTCGAAAGATGATGGGGTAGATCGACAGGTAGGAGGCCGTTGAGATAAGTATTGTCCCCGTGCTATAAAAGTGCTGATATCAGCAAAACACGGCATGCAAGTACTGTCAAGGTACGACGCACACTGCACAGGTTATCATTTACTTTTGTGTATTATCGTACATACTGTTGTGGGCTCTCTCTGACTGCTGAAACCGCGAGGCTTTGCCTGGCGATACGAGACTGAAGCTCGGAACGGAGCAGCCAGCCAGTCGGAGTGTGTATATACGGCAGGGACGGCGAAACAGGTGGAGCTTACGTGGGGTATTTCATGACTTTTAAATTGGAGATATGACTGTTCTCTCGCAGAGGTTTGGAGGAACGGTCGAGTATACACAGTATATCGTTAGAAAGAAGAAAACAAAGCCAGGTATGTAGAATAAATCCTTGGAGGTACAAAGTGAGCATTATCTCTATACTGCTGTTCTAAACTTTAGGCCATTAGGTACTCAGTTACTTTTCTATACAACATGTTGCCAATGTGCAAAACAAAAGAATTTCAAATTTTTTTTTTTTTTTACGCCACATAAACCATCCGAAGTCTAAAGTAGAAGTTTTGGTTACAGCCGATTCCGCGTGGGGACTGCACCATGTAACGAAATTTCACACGGGGAGCGCCCACCACCAGGTTTGTCGCCGCCCCTGATACACCGTCGTGTGCGCACTTGTGTGTATTAAGAGGAAAAGAGAAGGACAGATGTGTGTGTGTAAAAAAAGAGCGAGAGAGAGAGAAAGAGAGAGAGAGAGAGGAAAGGTCTTTCCGAGAGCAAACGGCGGCGTTGCCATGTCGCGACTCTCTATTTTCGACAACCGCGAATTGCCACGATTTTCAAAGTGTCGCCCCGGCTGGCTGGCTGCGAAATGCATGCATATACGTGCGGACGAGTGCATTTCGATTCGATGATGCTGCAGCTGATACGAGACGCACAAGGGAATTTGACGAATTTTCGCTTAGTTTGGCTCTTCGATGGATATGACTTTCCGGTTTTACAACCGAGGGCATTGCAACGATGTTGAGGACTGTGTTGTGGTATACGCGTTACATGCGAGTCTTTGTGTCTGGATGGTGGCAATCGATTTGTTTTGTACGTCGAAACTGGATGCTCACTGGGATACGTGTACGGTTTGACCGAAGCTTTATCGAGTGGGAACGAAGAAAAAAAAAAAAAAAATTAATTCCAACACGTGTGTAATTTGTAGAAAATAGATTTGGTCTATGAAAGTATACGGATGAATTTTGCTTTTTTTCTAAAAGTATTCAATCATACTCGATCTGCATCAAGAAAAAACAAGACATTTGGTTCACGTGGACTATGAGTATAGTTTTAAATACTTGATTGCTCATCATGCACCTATAGCAGATAATCTATATACGTAGCTATAATAATTGTTAAGATTGGTTTCAAATGACCGAGCTTTTTTATTAATTATGAATATGAGAAAAACCTAATTTAAATAATTTAGTCGACTTGCTTTTGAGTACCAAAACAAATACTTGCATGTCGAACATAATCATTTTGACAGAAAGATATAGTATCTTTGGTCTTGTTTGTTTTGCTTTTCTTTTTAATAAATACTAGGTTATGGTACCATTAAAAAGTAGTCTTCTAATTTAAAACAAAAGCTGATGTTTGATGGAATATTACACATTTACTTTTGGAAGCCCCAAATATATACAGTTACAATATTCAATTAAAGAGAACTTCTTGACAATGATTTGGTACGGTTAAGTTGAGAGTTGGAGACAGAGATACTTTTGGAGGTTAGATCAAGTATTTACATCAATATCATATGATTTTTTCAACCAGCAACTCGAAATGACTAAGTAGATAGTTAAAAAAAAATTCATTTATATTATGCAATGAAATCTCTACTCGCAAAATTTCTTCTTGAATTTAAAAATGTGTTATGGTTTGAATACTCAAGTATTCAAATGATACCATTATCTGGACAGTAAATTGAAAATATAACATTGAAAAAAGTAAATTAGCCGTCTTACAATAGATGTTTCATTGAGGGCAACACTTTACATTATAAAAATATTGTATAGTAATGTTTTCGAAGCTTGAATACAACAGTTTTTCATTAAATTGAACTAAGGTGTTGAAGTAGGTATAGATATAACTTTGGAGCACATATCATTGGTGAGCCAAATATTTTTATACAAGACTTACAGGCTAGAGCTGCTGCTTTAAATACGCTACGTGTGCATTTTGATCTTTCGACCCTTCATTTTGGCAAAAGAAAAGCGAGTAAGAAAAGCTGATACGCGCATCTTGCATATCTATAATGTATCATCTATTCGAGTATACCAACATATAGTATATACATATCTAAGACTCACTTTCATTATCGTCAAAGAACTTCCGCGTGTCATGTTAGCTTAATTGAATTATACACGTATGTATACTTCAAATTAATAAGAAGAAAATGGTAAAAACAAAAGTACAATATGATGGTTATATCGTGGACTGAAACGAAAAAGATATTAAAATACATGCATTCATAAACTATTGAAATGTCTAAATATAACTATTAATTTTTTATTGACATTGCAGAAAGTAGTGCACTTATATCCGAGCTTTGTAATGTATATAGTTTGTGATACTGCAAAAGTTTTACGTCAGGTATGAGAGTACTTGTCACTTTTTTTTTTTTTTATTCCTTGAAATTTTTTTAATAAATTGAAAATACTTCCAAGGTAAGAAAATTCCCTATGTCCTACGTCGTAAAACATAAGACTGTTAATCGCAGACATCGAAACTTTCAGCGAGAGAGGGTTAAAAAATAAAATAATTCACCTACATCTTTTGGCCTAGTTTCGGATCCACTTACATGAAAGAGCGCAAAACTATCTCAACCACGTTCTCACGAACGGTACATTTATACGGTGTACTCGGAATTCACGGGACCAAATTTTCGTCACCCACGATCAACGGCACGACGACGGCAACGATTCCTCGATTTTGCTGCGTGAAAAACCATTTTCGCTTTCCAAAAGCGTGTATCAGTCAAAGTAAGATTATTGTACGTACGCGAGATAAAAAGCTGTGGAGAAAAAAAAAAAAAAAAATACAGCACACAAAGTTCACAATTGATGTGATCGACAATATGCACTAAACACACACGCACACTACACGCAGAACGGAACAAACAATCGGAACATTGACCCTCCCTCGCGCGGCGGGGGGTAGTGGTGATCAGAGATATTGAAATTCGCAGTTGCGTGAAGTTTTGCCGTGCGAGCGAAATAATAATTCAACAAAACTCGTTAAATTCATCATCATCGTTTGTACGACGACGAGGAACTTTATTTATAAAAACAGAGTTGGAGAGAGAGAGAGAGAGAGAGAGAGAGAGAGAGAGAGAGAGATGGGGGAGCTGTAGTGAACGGTAAGTGTTGTACATGCATGTACTACACATATGTTATGCGAATGAAACGTTCAAAGACTTCCCGCGTATTCAACATTTATTTTGTACCATAGAAGGTATTAAGGAGGGATGAGAAAAATATAGAGGCACTCGCTGCTTTTTCTCCCGACACTGTGGTATGCGTGCGTGCGAGCGTGCATATGGAGTTTGATGCAGGAAGAGACTTTTTTTTTCTCTATGGATGTATATGTTGCGAGGAAAATAAAAGTGAGGGAAAGGGACATGTGAAGAGCTGAAGCAGCGTCGAAAGGACTCGTTCGTATCTGTCAGCATTAGTTGACTTTTGGAGTCACATTATTTTACATTTTTTATTTTTTTTCATTTACATTGAACAATCGATTCATTCGCTTCGACGTACGGAAAACATTGAAACGTGGGACCAATATTCTGATATTTCACGACTATAGGACTATAGGAGTAGCATACATTCTGTGTATCTTCTTACTTAAAATAATATTAATAAAAACGTAAAATCAGTGTATGATGTTAGCATAGGGCTGAAATACATTATCTTAAGACTTTTTTTTTTTTTTTTTTTTTTTTTTTTTTAAATTTTTTTTTAAATGAATGGAAAAAATGTTTTTGGAGGAAATTTTTTTTTTGTTTTAATTTGGGACGGTAAGACTTTTTTTTTTTTTTTTTTCCCCGTCATCGTACAGCTAAAAAAAAAAAAGCTCGGCACCCGGAGAGCTTTTCCCAGTGTGTGCGGGCTGCAGCAACCGATGCAAGGTGAAATCGTGCACGAACGAGAGACCGGACCCATAAGAGGGAAAGGAAAGAAGAAAAAAAAGAAAAGGGGAAATTATTAAGCCACTCTCCGCTCTAGTATGTGTGTGTGTGTGTGTGTGTGTGTGTATCGCCGTCGCGAGGAGGGGGTTCCTTCGCGGGTTTCTTTATGTAGCACAGGGACGCACACGCACATACAAGCGACGTATACCAATATACATAATATATATATATGTACTACACGAGACTGTATGTATAGGTATGGATTTTCGGAGCACCGCGACGAGGTAGAGAAATATATATATAGGGGGGGGGAGGAAAGATGAGAAAAGCAAGCACAAGAGTTATTACCTACACTCATGGTTTATAAAATATGTATGTGTCCTGTATACTTGTTCTTGGTTACCTGAATGACGATAAACGCTCTCGCAGTCGACAACAGGAGTAAGATCAACAGCATTTGCTGGTAGCGATAGCTGGAGTCCGAACATTATTGTCGAGCTTATTGGAGCAGCAGCAGCAGCAGCAGCAGCAACAGTATATTATTATATATATACACTTGGTCGCGTAGGGATACTGCACCTACGACGAGTGTCAAGACTTGAGTTTTTGTCTTGCCGTGGCGTTGGATGGCTTATCGAGTAACAGAACGACACCACGCAACGCGACCAAGACCAAGAGGAGGTTGTCGCCCCCTGCTGTTGTTGATAATACACGTCGACAAAGACGACGGAGAGGAGCACATAACACCAATAGTATAACTGTTTTTGCTGCTAGTGTCGGTTTAATCGAGCCATGCAGTCGATGCTGCTTTCCGCACTGATAACGGAGTCGTCGATAATATATATGTATATGTGGCTATATTTTTCAACTCTTTCGGAGCCCGGACGAAGCTTGTCCACTTTTTTCACTCTCTCTCTCTCTGGTGTACAGGTGCCTCGGACGGAGAAGCAACAAAAAATAAAAAAATAAAATAGCCAGACGAACCAACAAAAA